TGCTGGTTGTATCTGGTGATCGTAGAGGTCTTTTCCAACTTGAATGATACTGTAGTTCTATGATTTCATGACACGAGCACGTGATGCCATAGTCTCAAAGAGGGGAAAAAGGCACAAGAACTGTTAGCCAAAAACAGCATGATCTGGCTGTTTGCAGATTAGCAAACCAGGGATGCCCTGAACACACCAGGTCCTCCCTGTTATGCAAAGACACCACAGCAACCTGCTCAGCCTATGGGTTGGCACATAGCCTTCCAAATTGAGATTAGTATTTATTGGACAGCTTCCTGGAGCAGTGCTCATTCACATCTGCCACTGAGCTCTGTCAAACAGCTGGCAGAAGTCAATGACATGTGGTTCACCATGGGATTTTTCATAACAATGAGACACAAACAAACTTAGCGTTATGTACAGAGATGATGTCAAACAAATTAGCTTTGCCTGAGTTAGTCAGATGCTCTCGCAAAGCATGGTGCTGTCTGCTCATGTCACAGCCTTGGCTATGCTGTTTCTCAGAAGGAGCTACAGAGAGGCATCTGCACAGCAGCACTGAGGAGAGCAGAAAATCCCAGAGCTCTGAGTCAATTGCAGAGGTGGCCTTATTGTCACAGTGGGGGGGAAAAAAAAAAAAAAAAAAGAGATGGAAAACTCCCAAAAGATGGAACTCCAGAGCTGAACTGTATAGTGAGCATTTAAAACTGCTTTTGCCCTGGTTTGTGAAATTCTCTGGCAAATTTTTGATTTCCTTTCTTCCTTAAATTGAAATGTTAATTTGTCTGAATCAATCCAGACAGAAATCTTTTGGGACTGGCTACACAACAGCCTCAGGGTGGCTGAGGGAACTGCTGCTCCTGTGCAGATGTAACAGCCAGACACAGACCATAACCAACATTTACAAATGAGCTGCAAGGAAAACTCCATGACAAGGGGTATTACACTCACATTTTTTTCTGTGTTCCTGCCTACATTTTGACTTCCTTTTCTATGAGAGCATTTATCCAACTAAATAAGGAAGACAAAAGATCTAGATTTTGGGCTATGGAAAAGTGACCAAAAGTGCTAACAGATTTCCATCCTTTCACTAGTGAGAAACCCAGCAGATGGCAGCCCTGCCCCAGGGGGGCTTCTTTTGGTCTCTTTCAGGTACTACACCTCTGCTGTTTCCCTTACAACCACCTGGGTCCAGGCTGAGTGGCCTGAGGGCCTAGGATCTACACGTGTGCTTTGCCTTATGGCACTTAAGTCTAATGACTTTGCTTTCCCAGGATTGTTTCCTTCCTCTTGTTCCATCTGACTTCCTCCAGAAGAGGTGTTCTCTCACTGTCGTTATCCAACCTCACCTTTCTTGCAAGGGTCTACCTGCCTACATGGCCACGAGCACATGAACTGAGTGAAACATAGCTCTCCACTCAGGAGTCTGGGCCAGAGCTCCAGTGGGTGGGTGCTCCTTCTCTCTGCACAGCCATTCCAAAACGGGCTAGGAAGAACAGTTCTCCAAGCAACACCACAATCAGTATCTTCCTCTTCTGGTCAAACCAGAGGCATCAGCAGTTCTGTCACATGTCCTTCTGCTCACCAAAATCTGCTACTCACAGAGCCTTCTCGCTCTCCTGCAATTCAGCGAGAGTAGGAGCAGCCAGAGTCTTGTCATAGTACAAGATTTTATTGTTGTCATGATAATTAACAACTACATACAACGAGCTTTTAATGAGTACCTGCACTCTTTTTTTCTCTCTGTTTGTTTGTTAACTGGGTCATAAAGGAGTTCTGAATGATTTCCTGGATTTACAGTACAATGGAGACCTCTACAGGTGCTTTCCTCCTCAGAGCCAGGCTAACGTGACGTGTATGCACATCACTGCAGGTGCCATCGGTGCTCCACTGCTCAGAGTACTTACAGAGTTGTGCAAGCAGCACTTCCAGTCTCTCTGTTGTCAGGTCCACATATTCAATCACAGCTTAGGGCCACCCAAGGCTTTGAGATGCTAGCGATAACCTGCACATTCCACCTGTGCATTTCTTGTTTGTCAAGCTGACCTTTCTCAAGACAGCCATGAAGTTGTTTGCTCTGAGCCAGGAGTTCCCAAGGAACACAACCATTGGAGACCCTATACACAATGGGCTCAGTCTGCAGACAGCATTCTTAGGACACAATCCAGTGTCATATGGCTCAGACTTGACACTAGGTGGCCTTATGCCATACACATCAGCACTCTTCAGGTGAGTTATTTTAATATGCACAAGCAGCAGCTGTTCTGCCATAACAAATATTATTTTGCAAGGACAGACATTTTTCCCACAGGTTTGTACCCCATTCTTTTAAGGGGACCTTGCAGGGGTAAGAAAACTGCAGGGTATGTAGATGTTTCAGATGGAAATGAGTGTTAGCTACTGGACAGGTACCTGAGCCCCATCATTAGTAGCAACAAACATGCCGAGATGCTGAGAGCAGGCACCTGTGCAGCAGGGACAGGACTTGATGGCCTGAGGACAGACAGGCTGGAGTGATGCACTGCCAGAAAATGCAGTGTGGTTCCAGCAGCCAGGATCAGATCATAGGTGCTGTTGGCCTTTGGGAAGGCAGTCTCAGCCTTTAGCGTCTGTCTGTCAGTTCTACTGAGCTGCTGCCGCCCCCAGTAAGCCTGACACAAGACTGCCCAGGAGCCAAATATCACAGGGTCTTCTCCTAAAGAGGAGAGCATTCTTGGCATGTGCAGCTTCCAACTGTGTGCCATTACAGGAGTCTGATAAACAAGGCAGGAAAGATGGTCCCACTCCTCTGCCAGGCCAGTTCTGCAGGAAATTCCGCACAGTAAGCAGCAGCAGGCAATACCAGCCAGGCAGCATCTGTCACTGATGGAGGCAGGGCTCAGCACAGCCAACTCCACAAAGCTATCTGAGACAGCATAGATTTCCTCAGCGTGGTCACTGCATTGAGCCACACTCAATGGTGAGTCGTTCCTGCAGCGATGCCTCAGACCCAATTGGCCAGATGAAAACCTCAGAACTACAGCAACAACTCTTCTTCCACATAGGCTACAGACTGTGAACACTGTGCAGACTGACAGAAAGCATCATCTGGGTGGGTGCCCCCAGAGCAGGCAAGATGCTGGCAGCCTGCTCCCAGGTCCAGCTTAAGCACATATAGCACCGAAGTGGGGAGTAACCCACTTCTGGAAGCCTCAGCACCATTTAGAATAAAAAATATAAAGCAAAGATATCCTATCCCTTCCTTCTCCCCACCTTTGTCTCTTTGTTATCCTCTCCCTACACTTACACCAAGTCTCATTTAGCATAGCAGGGGCCCATCTGGCATTCTGCTCTCGAGCTTTTCTTCCATTAGTTTAAAACCCCAACCAGCTTTTACAGACTGCCCTTACAGAGCTGACTAAGTCCACAAAGCAACCAGAAGAAAACACTGCACAGTGTTTAACTTTCTCCCTAATTGAAGTACACACCTTCCAACAGTTGGCTTAAATATTTATCAAAACATAGAAAAAGTAGCTATGCCTTTCTCTAGGTACAGAGCATCTCACTGCAACGAGTAAATTTTTTTCAAGAAGCACTACTGTATAGTCAAATACATCAATGAGAGAATTCACAAATGGTTAAAACACATACACAAAAACCCATCGCTCTGTGACAGCAGGAGAGACATTCAGGAGAAGAAGATGAACCTGCATGACAACGTTTTGCAGCTTTTCCTCTTTTGGACTGACCAGCAATTACAACTTTCTCAGAGGAAGATATCTCACTTGTGCTTTCCTGATGATACGCAATTTTTAATAGGCATTTCAGTTCAGGATTCATCTACTGACCAGGAACCCCCATGTGAAAAGCCACCAACTTTAGACCAGCCAAGTGCTTAAGCACATTTACCCTTGCAAAAGCCAGTTTTTCATATACATTTCAGCACTACCACTGTAGTCTCATAAATACACAGTTGTTTTTTGTTGTTGTTGTTGTTTTTTGTTTTAATAAAAGGATCATATTCATCATTTGGTAAAAACGAACTCATGGAACAAAGAAATTAAACTTCCCAGCAATTCACCTAAATTAGGTGAATTGCAAAACAAAGATTGCCAAGGTACCTAACTGTCTTTCCCTTGTAGATGACTAAACATGGAAGAAGTGTCTACAATTTGCAACAGCTGAAATGAAAAAAGTATCTGGGAGCCATCTCCAGTCCCATTAGCATTGGCAGGTAACTCCAAATGTCAGTGAGAAATCACAGTTAGTGTCACCAACATTGGAACCAATTTTCTTCCCTTCTCCATGAACAAAATCTTCTCTTCTTGCCTTTGCACTTCTTTGTAGTAAAGATGAAGCAAAACAAGCATCTGATAATAAATAACCTGTCTGGATGGAGTGGAACAAAATCCTCATGCTCATTTCTTTCCTTCTTATTAGAGTGATCACATCATGCATGTAATATGAGAAAGGAGTAAAGCTGTTCTGCTTCCTTGGCAAAGCTCTAGCAAATTTCATAACATAATTCCAGCTTCTGTAGCAACCAGAGTCTTGCTCTGAAATCAGAGTACAACAAGGCAAGGTTTGCTTTAAGTTTCAGGAATGTAATGAGCCACCCTATGATCTTTGGGAGGAGTTGTGTTCTTTGTCGTGAGTGCACTCAATAATCCATTGGCAGAAAGATGTCCAGTTCCTTTTGAAAGGCAGTCAACACTGCAACAGCAGAATCCAGACAGCTTCTCATCAGCATGTGATGTTCAGAATACAGTTTCATTGTGAAACAGGTGGTCTTTCTCCTCCAGAGCAGAAAGGGGAAGGAACAAAAAAAGACAGAAAAGAGCAGAGCAGAATACTCCAGTAGGGCTTGAAATGACTGAAAATAGGTGAAAGAAATCAATCCTTCCCTCATCAAATCTGAAGCACAGGAGAGCATTGAGAAGGCTGCAAGTATTCTCCGCTGTTTTGACCCGCTCATCTAGCAATCTTGTCTAAAAACATTAAGTCTTTCTTCAGAAGCAAATGGAGCCCATCAGTTCTGCAGGAGCAGAATGGAGAATCATGCCCTCACTCTGTCATTCTCTTTATTTCATCCCATCAGCGAGGCTTGGACATTGCTAGACTGCATGGAATGGCCCTCGAAACAGAACTGCCTCTTGTTTACAGACACACTGGTAAGCATTTTGATGCCAGGGCTTCACAGCGCTGTCTCTCCCATGCAGACTTTGTAGGGAGATTTCAATTTCCTGCATCTAAAATAGAAGACATCGTAACATTTTAATTAGACAAATTTGAAACCATAGTAGCCTGAACAGAACTCAATTTAATTGCTTAACTCACTGAAGTAGCCCCAATGAAAGCCACTTTTAGTAACATTGTACTGTGCTATACAACTGGCAGAACAGACAGCAGAAGTATTGAGCATCAGTGCCTTTAAGATCACACAGCAGTGACAAGAACATACTCCCACCGCTCTTGTACAACTCCGCTGTCCTCCCCACCATAAATCAGATCAATTCAACAAGGTTACATATTTCCCATACCTCTTCCTTACGTAGCAGTAGATGATTGCAAGTATCCCACTTGTGAGTATTCCTATGCCAATCCCCACAGCAATGTAGCGCTCATAGGAATTATGCGCGTAGGAATTCAGTGTTAAATGCTCACACCTCTCTCCATTGTAACCTGCAAGGCATCTGCAAAATAAAGATATACCATGTGAAAACTATTGAGAACTTCTGCTCTCTATTTCAGAAATACATGCTGGTTTTAAGTAGCTTTAAACTATGTTGAATGAGTCTGAACTAGGAAGGTTGGATGTGGTGCTTGGTCAGAGCCTCTTCCTCAAGACTACCAGTTGTCCCAGTCCATCTGGTTTAAAGCTAGCTCCAGTACTGCAGTCACAGCACCAAATACCATCTAAACATACCCTCATAGCAGAGGGTGTGGAAGAAGAGTTGTGTGCCCTGCTGATCCTCAGCTGCTGTGATCTCTAAAGTTGTTCAGTACTTTAGAGATACTCAAGCACACCATGGTTCTGATTGGTATGGAAATAGCTGTGAAGTGATGGAGCTTCAGCTGACATCTTCAAATATCCTGGCCTCTTCACAATTCTGATGTGAGATACCATCAAATCAACACCTCTCTCTCCCCTTTCCTTGGTATCACATTAGCACTCCAGACTTTGCCAAACTTGAAGCCTGAAAAAACTTCACTGGCACATGTAAGTTTTGCTTTGCTGAAAATTAGTCAAATTCCAATAATAACTTGTGGCAGACAAAGAAACAATGCCACTGTTGGCAGTTCTCTAAGAAAGATACTTTAAAGCAATGCTGTTTACTTGCATATGGGTTTCCTCAGTTCGCTGTGGAAAGCACAGAGCCCATTTATGCAATAACTGTGGTGTTCTTCCAGACAGGCCTGCATGAGCTTCAGGAGCCTTGGTTGCTCTGCATAGTCTGCTGTGAACACAGAAAAAGGCCATGTTACATCTAGAAGAAGTACAAAAATGAAAGCATTTGAAAGTATTTTCACAACTCAAGATGAACAGACATCTCCTGCAGAAACAAACAATATATGTTTGCTGTGATGTGTCTCTCAAGATGGTTCGCACAATGCTGATCAGAACAAACTTCCGCAACATATCAATTTGGCTTTGAGGAAGAACAAATTGCTAAATAAGTTACTTCTTAATGAGGAGTGTATATAAAAATGATATGGAAGACTCACCCTGGCTAACACTAGTATTACCCAATGTGCAATCCATCAGAAAAAACATCCCAAAACATCAGGGGTTAAGGATACAACAACAGCATATGATTATTCTCAGCATGTTTCCCTGCTAGAATTCAAACAATGAATTATTTTTTTCTTCCAATCCCTAGACAAATCATTGCATTCCTGTCCCTCAGTGCTGCAGCTACAATTTCGTGATGAATGGTTCTCCGTGGTTCTATGTCAGCAGAGTGTCCAGTTATGGTTTTAAGTAATCAGCACTCCCCATGTGGCCTTTCTATGTGAGAGTAAGCCAGGGCCACAACTGTTCAGTGTTTAAACTTGAGGGCTTTAGTATTTCAGGGCACTGTCTTAGAGATGACTGATGGCGATTTCCTAACTGAGCATATGCCAACACCAGGCTTCTGCGATGACCACAAACAAAATAATATCATGCAGGAAGGTGACAAGGTCTGCTCAGTGATGAAGCAATGGGGCAGCAGCAGAAACCCTCCTTCTGACTAAGTGCTGAATCAAGCTTCAGAGATGGTACACTGAAGAACAGACTGTCAGATATGTATGCCTCCAGCCCTTCTGTGGTCAACTCGAGATGTCAAGACACATTTTTCAGGAGCAGTAAGACCAATTCCCCCATTTCCTTAACAAACTCTAGTCTGAGTCATTCCTTAGCCACAATCCATCTGTGTACTCAGCTTGGTGACTTTCTGTCCTTGGCGCAGCTGCACCCCGAACATGGCAAGTGATGGTGAACAGCTGCTTTGTGCTATGACCTGCTGAGGCACTTCACAACTTCATCCATGAAGTTGGTTTGGATATCAAAGAGGTTTGATACTATAATTACTAATCCAATTGAACACCAGTGCTTTGAAAATAGTGTCCTCCAAAATCTGAGAGAGAAATCTGACTTGGAGAGACTTATAGAGGAAAAAAAAATTCTTGGAAAAGCACAGATGGACTAGCTCCTTGTTTCCAGGGAAAGCTGTGGAAGTGGTAGAAATCAGCTTATTTTGAAAATAAAGTTGTTGTTGGCTGAGAAAAGGATTAAAAGAAAAAAAAAAAAAAAAAAAAACAAAACCAAAAAGATGCGCTTGTGAATTTTTACACTAGGGATAAAGCAGACCTACAGCTAGAAACAGTGCTAGAAGGTATCCACCAGATACACATTTTTGGCTGTTACAAAATGACACACGTGCTGATGGAGGAGCTGAAGGTTATGCCCTGTTCTCTGTATTACACCCAGTAACAGTAATGAAGTAACAAGGCTACAACTGCTAGCCTGTCCCCATCTACTGGAACCAGCATGCTGTTCCTGCTCAGAAAGCCTCATGCAGGGCAGACACACTCGCAACCCTGGATCACGCTCTCTGTGAGGGAACCACCAGCAGTGAAGGCACATGAGCTCCAATACAGAGCTCTGGAACTCATTTGGTTGGCATGGGAGCACTGCAGACACACTCTAGAGATGCCAGCCAAGACACTGGGCTCACTGGCCAAGAGCACAATCAGGAGAGGACCAGGCCTTGGAGAGGTAGATTTAAGGAAGACAAGGCTGATCTTATGAGAAGAGATTCATGATGCTACTCAGTCCACAGGACAGCATGATGAGTATGATGCTAATTGCTGGGGAAAGTACGAGATAAAACACAAGGCAAGAACGTTTGCAAAGAGCAGCATGCTGAGATCCAGGACGCAGGAGAACTGCAAGGGCTGATTTTCACAATGTTGCAAGCGAGACCTTCAGGGAACAAACCATTCACACTCATTCACGGCTCTCCTCAGCTTCCAGCACAACAGGGCCAAACCACACAGTATGAAGCAGTTCAACCTGACCCTCAAGTAAAACCTTTCACTGCCCATCCCTGCTGCTCTTCCACCAGGCTCTGAGAAGACATTTACTGCATAGTCATAGTATTGCCCTTAGGTCTCTGCCATAAAGAAAAAGAAATGGAAAAGTTGCAAATACAAGTGTCAGATATGTGGAATGTGCAGTTGCCTCTGCTCAGACTTCAGCCCAATATCTCTCCTGGTTTACACCACTTCTGCCAGGAGATGGCAGCCTCCCATCCACCCACTGCTTGGGAAAGCTGCCTTTTCCTGTGGGCAGGAAAACCTCTCTCCCCTGTGGATCGTGGTGGTTAACATTGTCTTAGAAACAAAGGTCAGCCCAGAACAGAAACGTGACTAGAAAGTGCTGGAGACAAACACTTTGTTACACGGACCACAGCCTCCATAGTTGTCAGTAGAAAGAGCTTTGTCCAGTTTTGGTTGCAAGATCTGATCTTATGTGTACATGAACAAATCCTAAGTGTTAATTATTCGGACATTGCAAAAGTACAAATGATGACCTTCAAAAGAATGATGAGTCTCAAAAACAAAGATTTTCTAACCCATCCCAGAGCATGATGCTAACTCCTATCATATTATCCACCTCGATACTAAGCAAGCTGTTGAACAAACACATGTGCCTTTCAAGTCCCGTGAGGAAAGACAGACAAGCATGCTGTGTAAGCACCTGACAGCTGCCTGCAATTGAGTCACTCAAACAGATCCACCTGGCAAGATATGACACGAAGTTAAAACCTGCAGGTACCTGAAAGCCGAGGTGCGTCAACACAGACCAAGTGGCAACAAGAAGAGTGAGCCACCAAGGCCACTACAGCTCAGCCTTCAGTATGATGCTCAGAGAAGAATGAGAGCATCAGAAGGGGAAGAAAGGAGTCAGATCCAGGGTCGGAACCTTCCCTACAGTCACGTAGAGGAAGGCTACAAAGACCTCCCACAGCTGAAGCTGTGCCTGAAATTCTCCATTCTTGCTTAGCCAGCTCCCAGCCAAGCATCCTCTCCAACCATCATTTTCCCCTGTGAGTGATCCAACTTGAACCTTGAGTACTCTGTTCTGTTTTGGGCTTCTCACTACAAGAAAGACATCGAGGCCCTGGAGCGCATTCAAAAAAGGGCAATGGAGTTGTGCAGAGTCTGGTGCACAAGTCTTATGGGGAGTGGCTAAGGGAACTGTGATTGTTCTGTCTAAAAGAGGAGGCTCAGGGAATACCTTATGGCTCTCTACAGCTGCCTCAAAGGAGGTTGTGGTGAGGTGGGGATTGGCCTCTTCTCCTGGATAACTAGTGATAGGACAAAAGGAAATAGCCTCAAGCTGCACCACGGGAGATTCAGGTTGAATGTTAAAAACAGTTTGTTCTCCAGAAGAGTGCAGAAGTGCTGCAATGGGCTGCTCAGGGAGGTGGTTGAGGTACTATCACAGGGAGTCTTCAAGGAAAGGGTAGATGTTGTACTGAGAGACACAGTTTAGCGGGAACTAGTGGGGATAGCTAGATGGTTGGATTGGATGGTCTCAGTGGCCCTTACCAACCTTGGTGATTCTATGACCATGGAACCTAACATTTCCTAGCCCCGGCACAGCTACACAGGCCCACCTGAGGTGTAAAATAAGGAAGCAGGACATGATCTTGTAGGAGAGATGCAAATGGATTTGTTCTTCCTTGAGCACAAATGAACCTCCCACAGAAAACTGCCAGCTCCTCCAGTGAGTCCTACCCAGGCATTCAATTTCTTTGGTGATCCTTCTGGCATTTCTTTCTCATCTTCTTGCCAGATGTTTCCAAGGGAAACATTCTCTAACTAGAAGTACGGGTACCTGGTTGATTTGCACAACTGCAACTAGCAGAAATACACATGGAACAATTGTAGTCATGGTTGTGCTCCTGTAAACAAAAATCTCTTATTTGTTAAAATCTGACCCATAATTCCTGCTTTCTAGAAATACTACTGGGTACTTCTGGAGTAACAACACATATTACTAGTTCATTAAATTCCTGTATGCTCTGAAATAACCAAATCACAGACAAATCATTAAGCCAGCATGCAAGTGTTGTACTGCTAAGTCAAACTATTGCTGTCAAAAATCAACAGCAACTTGATTTCTGTATATATATACACGTGTGTTTGTGTTTATACTACACAAAGTAATAGCGTAACATTTATAGCATACAGATGAATGCATACATATCTGTAAAACTGTACCACTGTGAGAAACTAGATACAAGAAGAGAACAGAGTACAGCAGCTTGACTTGTTACAAGAAAAATAAACAGCATATGGATCTGCTAAGAAAACTTGCAAGACAGATGACCTAAAATTAGCACAAGATGATTCGCATGCAGTATGTTCTTTTAAAAGTACAAAGACATTAATAAGTATCACAGTTCAAATCCTTTCCTCCTTTACTGACCTGCCAAAACCTCAGGTCCAGATTGCATGGCTCTCCCCAAAGCAGTGACATCATTAGCACCTGAAGTAACATCAAGAATGCAGCTGGCAGGTTAAACACAGTGTTCTGGGCTCAAATGTTGGCAGGTAAATAGCTTGAGTTCACATTTCAGTCAGAATAGAAAGAGAAAAGAGAGCTAACACTCTGAGAAGGGCTGCAGAAGCCGTGATAGCCAAGAGCAAAACTGCAACAAAGAAAAACTCCTGAGTAACAGCAATAAACGTAGCATCACTTTACATTGGTTTGCTGCATTCTCACTTGAGCGCATAAAGATTCAGACTGAAGGCAGACAGAAACCAGGCATTACTGAAAAACAACCATCAAAATTCCAGGCAATCTATCCCAAACAGCCTCAAAATATCTCGTTTTACTCAGTGATTAATAAACAGAACAAAGCACAAATACCTTCAGTGTTGTTTTTCGTCCAGCTATTCCACATTTCTGTGCTGAGGGATGAAACAGTGAGAGCCGCCTCCTCACTCAGTGCCCCCATTGCTGTATAATGCAAACAGATGCTGACTGAAACAGAAAACTCAGCATGGCTATTCAAGGTTCATTTCATCCAGATAACGTTTACTCATTTTGTGCACTTCTGATGCAGTGCAGAAATACAGTTTAGGAAATTCTTGCCTCAAACCTCCTTTTGTTACAGAGCTACTATTGTGATTGAAGGGAAAACAAACATTTGCAGAATCCCTAAACGCACATCCACTCTGTTCTCTATTCTGTTACCTATGCAACTTATGGCACAGATACCTGCAATGTACTACAAACAATGTTGCACCTATTTAACAAAGAAATTTCTCTAGGCCAGGTCTTGGTTCCATTCCATCCTTCCAAACCTTGCCCAGTTTCAAAAAGTAGTGAAACAAATCTGCTTCACATTGCCATGGTTCCCACCCCTACTTATATATACTATATATAGCTTATTTCAGAAAGACTAAACTCTTCCTTAGGATAGCCCAGTATACCACGACATGGAAAAGCCCCTCCAAACCCACCTTTCAGCAAAATGTAGATGAGCATTCCAAATGCCATGGCAAGCAGCTGCTTTAACACCTTTGCAACTCTCCTTCGCCGGTGCTCGTTGGCTCCACTTATCTGTGCTGCTGTGTTTTCTCTTGCACTTATACGCCACGAAGCGTCATTTGCTGCTCTCACCAATCAAAAAAAGGTGCGTCTGGCAGCAAGCTCAGCCCTTAGGGCAACCACACATTTATTTAGGAAACTGCTATTATCTAGCACTGGGATCGGGTTTTCTCTTGAAACCCCAGTTTCCTATTACCCGTGGGCATTGTTGTGCATGCAGAGATGCAGTTTTAGAGAGACCTAGCATCTGACAGAGCAGATCAATGATATATGGCAAAACCAGAAGGTTGCAAAACAAACAATATCGTGAAAAATGAGATCTTTGGTCCCTCGGTGATAAAGCCTTACATTACTTCCAGGGGGGTGGTCAGCATTCAGCCTGTTGCTTCAGGTACCAGGAGCCAGGGTCCAGTCCCTGCTGTGCTCTAGTTCCTCCTGCACTTTCAGCTCCTCCTCATCCAGAAAAGGAACAGTGAGAACAGCCGTGCTGAGACTGATAAGTGATCAGACAGAGATAACAGTGATATTCCCCATCAGTGACTGCCAGCAAAAGGCTTTGATCGCAGCTGGAGCTGTGCAAGGGTGGCCACCTGGAGAGCCGTGCAGATACACAGTGAGAGTGATCATGCTTTTTACATTAAGAACCTGTAGGTCTTTAATACCTGATACACATGTTTCTTAACGCCACTCTCCACAGCCCTAAAAGCTGTCAATTCCTTTGTCACAGGCAGCTCAGAACAAGCAGGACTGCTCCCTCTGCAATGTTGTTACATAGCACTGAGGCAGATCACCAGAAAGGTCCAGTTCAGTAATGGAAAAGCAGATCAACAGCCTCAAAACTTTTCACTCTCACCCCAAGAGAGCTGCTATCTTCACTTCAAGTTTCAGTTTCCCCACTGTGAGCTTCAGAAAATAAAAAAAAACCTTTTCACAACTTAATCTTTTCTTTAGCCAAAACCTAATGACAGATGCTCTAGCAACTCCGGTCAGCTTGAGTTCTCCCTCTGCACCAAGCTCTTTGGTGATGTATGGGATTCAGTGTAACCACTTCATAAGCTCAGGGAAAAAACACAAGCTGGTTATGCACACTTTAATTATGTGTTCTGATGCTCATGGGCTGCATTCCAGGAGGCTTTTCCCTTCCTTCTGTATCCTGAATGGCTGCATGCCTGCACATTGATCGAGTGCAGCCTGCGCACTCCCCACTTGCCAGGACTGGCGTTTGTGCTACCTGCAGATCCTTTGCTATCAGTCCCAAGCAGGGAGCTTCCTTTCAACATACTTCTACACAATGGGAGTTTAATCCAGTGTGAATGGGAGCAGTGGCTCTGTCGTTGGGCAATGCAGTGGGTGCGGCAAGAAGAGGGCAGCAGATGAGGCTACGGCTGTCCCCACCTGGCCTGATCCAGGCACACGAGCACTTTGCAGGCTGGAAATAAGAATCATAACCCTTCTGCAGATTGCAATGGAGAACAGATGCATTTGGCAGCTCTGAAAACAACTTGCCACAAAGCGAAACCTTGGTCCTGCTGGCTTTATGTCATACTAACTCACTCGTGGGAGGTGAAAAGAGAAAAAGCTGAGGATGCACTATAAGCTGCTGGGAGGATATGACAGAGGCAGACTCATTCCAGTGACATAAGTGAAGTGCCTCGAGTTGTTATTCCACCAAAAATGCAGACTCTATTTTTAGCTAAAGCAAAGTAAATGAACACAGATTTGGAAAAGCAATGCAAACAGGTGAATTAAAGGTAATGAATGAACACGCAAAAGGCTCCTGTTGTTCCACTCTTTAGATAGAAAGGAAAAAAAAAATCCAACCCAAACTGTATCAAAGTATCTCACAGAAAGGTTAGCAGAACAGGCAAATTTTATTCCATCTGAGCCAATGATGGGTTAAATTATCTGAGCATTACCTGCACATGCACCTGGATACCCCTAACATTCTGATAACCCCTCATTTTGAACAGATACATGGGTGTCTGCACCATTGGTTCCATACACTTAGTAATGGATCTGTCAAGCGATTCTGCAAAAAAACGCATTTATGCAAAACTCTCAGAGCATCAGAAGAAACAAGCAGCACAGAAACAATTCTCCATCTTTTTTTATTTTTTATTTTGGTATGCACTTTTTTTTTTTAATAAACAGAACTTGTATTTAGCCACACCTTTTTGTATTCTTACTTTTTTGAGTAGTCTTGAATCTACTGGCAATCACTAAAGACTCTTGATTAAAATAAAGTTACCCCAACCAAGATAAAAATATGGAGATAGCAGCCCAAAGCGACTCCCACTGGCTTCAATGGGAACCAGGGTAGGCTCTTCAAGTCAATACAGCATATGCATATTAAAAGTGGCATCCTAGCAGTAACATGACTCTGACTCTTACACTGCATGAGACTATTCTGAATTCACCTTTGGAACACCTTAGGGTACAGAAACACACTGATAATCATTCCTCTCCCATTTATTTTTATGATTTCTATTTCGTTTTACAGCAAGCATCTTATCTCACACAGTCCTCTCTAAGAAGCAAAATATTGTCAACAAATACTCACAGGGCTCAGCCTTATACCAGGAATTAAGAACCCTTCATGTTGCTTCAGAAAATAAGAGAATAAACAAATGGCTTAAATTCCAATACAAGCATTTCTACCGTGGGTAAACTTTTGATTTTCTCTTCCTCTTCCCCTCCATCTTATACAAAAAAGTACGTACATAGCAGCTTTAACGGCATTCTATCCAACTGAAGTCCAATCCAACCACATCATCTACTCAAAACCTTTTTGTGGCATTATGCATGAAAATACCATCAACCAAATTCAGACATGGAAAGAAAACAATTCTGGCCTCACAACTGCGAGTACTTCATGCAAACCTCTTGCATACATTTCAGAGGAGAGTTTAGCCAATATTGAAGTACACAGGACAGCTTTAAATGTGTACTGAGCATTTGTATTCACTGCCAGAACTGTTGTCTAGTAGCTGAAACAAATTCAAGCCTTTTGTTTCTTTCAGACTCCAGATCACTGTTATCTAAATGTTTTCCAACTTCAAATTACACTCAGAACATTCCACATTTTCCATAAATATCCACTATGTTGAAACCTACTTTTCATACAGATTGAGCATATCTAATGCTTAAATAATCTCATCAATAGCATCCCATTTCAAAATATACAAGCATAATTCAAGCTCTGGAATTCAAGTTCAGTTTTTCACTTCCACACACACAGCTGACCAAGAACATGGTGCCAACAAAGTCTGCACCATTCAATTCAGTGATGCTCACAGTAAGTCAGCAGGAGGTAACATAAAGTATTGTAACATTTTGTAAACCATCAAGTTCAATATAGTTTACATGAAAAAATAAATACAATGTAGAAATAAATATCTTTCTAGTAAAAAATAAAGGTTTTGTATAACAATAAATAGAACTTGCATTCTTCTTCTGAGACAGCCCACTTCCTCTAGTAAACGAGCTTCTTAGCAACTATCAGCGTGTTCTTCAGAAGCATTGCAACAGTCATAGGTCCCACCCCTCCTGGCACTGGAGTGATGAAGCCAGCCTTCTTCTTCACTTCTAAGAGAAAAGAGAGAAAGGAATTGACTAAGAATGTTTCCAGAAAATTTTTTCTCATTCATTTTTCCAGATAAGTCCAACTGTCAACAAGCTTAAAGGACCGTGATTTGGACAATACTGAAGAATATGTGAAAAGTTACCACAGAAGTCCTCAAATCCACAGTAGTTCCAGGATGAGTTTGAGGGACACGGTTTAGTGGACATGGTGGTGATGCACTGACAGTTGGACTAGATGGTCTTAGTAATCTTTTCCAATCTTAATGATTCTATGATAGGATACAATCAGGACCAGAGTTGCACGGTAGTCCTCTCCTTGTCAATGTCATTATCAAGGCACCAGTTTTGGGCTATGGTTTTCCCACCAGCTTAAAGCAATCTGTCTGCAGAAGGCTGCCTTTTCCTCATGGGAGTACACACCTCCAGTCAGCCTGTGGTCAGCCACCTCAACTGCGTGCGTTTCTGAGGAACTGCAAGAGCAGGAGTCCATCAAGAAGAACAGCTGAGCACAAGCACAGCCTTCTTCCCCCACTACAACCTGAAGCTTCTAATGAAAATACTCTACCTGTTCTGAAGTTCTGAAGGGAACTTCAGAAAGCTACAGTGGGAGAAAGTACAGCTTCCTGGTTGGTTTGTTTTCTGCTTCTCAACATGGGCAAAGAACAAAACAGAGCTGAGTCTGTAGAAAAACAAATTCCCATTGCAACAACAGCCATAAATGCTCAACTCCTTTAGAGAAGGTGTGGTTTTGTTGTTGTTTAACAAACAAAACCAAAGTAAACCAAACCACAAAACAGCCTTATTATGGTGCCTACATCAAACTTGGACTGGGAGGCACTGGTCTTACCGAAGTGTCAAAGAAAGAATTTTGACCACTGAATTAGCGGCAACTACCTGGGCTATGTGGCTGTCCAAAGGTAGCATGTACCTTGCTAAGAGATAGATACACCTTTATTCTTATTTTTTAAAGCATGTAGTTAGAAATGCACTTTAGTTAACAGTGGCATTCTACTGATTGCTGTAGAGATTTTCACAAGTGCCACCATGAGTGTGCATCACACCACCCCTGCTTTTTTTTTTTTCCCCACCTCCTTCCTCCTTCCTCCCCCCCCCCAGTGTCTGAAGTAAGGCATGGAAAGTAACTGCAAGCATGTCATATAGACACACTCTATGGTGAGCATTACTATTTGAAAAGCAGCTGAGAAGAGCTGTTAATTACACCAGGGAGGGCTTTGATTACTCTACTAGCTGTACCACCAGATATACTGTTTAAAATACTTGGAAAGCTTAACAAATTGCAACTTGCAATGCTTTTTGTTGTTACTTTGTTTTTGTTGTACATGCAAGTTGTAAGAAATAAATTAAGGTCCCATACGACAGTTATTCTTAATATTCTCACACACTCTTACTAATTATTCTGAACTACCTGCTCTTTGAGATTGGTGTTTATGGTTAGCAGCTACTGAAAATCCCTAACTCAATGTCATAATTATTGAAATGTACCCACATCTGAAGTGAACACCATCATAATTGCCATACAAATTGTTTCAGCCATTTAAAATTGAAATAAGTCTATTTCCATGGCAATGTTATATGCTTCTCTTTGTGGTGTTATTTGGAATACTCTTATCTTAGTTACCAAATGCTGCAGTTCACAGCTGCACATAAGCCTTCTAATGCACATCGTGCACAACATCATTGCCTCTCATGTTAGGAGCTGTACTGAGGAGCACAGGCACAGAGCACAGTGTGCTGCTCTCACAGGTTGCAGAAGATTTTCTCTCCCCGTACTCTATCATTACGGAAATCACTGTGGCTCAACGTGGCAGAAACCACAGTTTATATTTTGCATACAACCACCTGGATACCTTATTCACAAAAGCTGATCCAGATATATACACAAAGGCTGCTCCAAAAGTAATGCCTCCTGTTTTATTGTGTTGGCCCACAACATAAGAGGTGGATGTCAGTTGCACAGCAGTAGAGGTTGAACCTTCCCACAACTATTCCACATGCAGTTTCTTGTTCATCACTGAACAAAATGCATATCTAACAGTGGTAACTATGTCAAAAAAACAGCGCTTTGTAGCTAAGAATTTGCTCTATGAAACAGTGTTATTGTACTCCTTGTACCTGTTACAGTTTCCATGGAAATAAACAGGAGGCATTACTTTTGGAGCAACCTGTGTAAACAAGTGACAGTTGTCTATGTTTAGGAACTACCATCTGATACATCTCCACCCAGAAGAGTAAATACAGGCCAGATGAATACAATTCTCTAAGAAGAACATTAGTGAGCAAAGGGGTAAAAATAACATCAAAAATGCGAACAGACTCTCCTTCTCTTATGAAGAGTAGAAAGCCAAAGCAGTCCTAAGGCAGCACTTTGGTGTGACCCACCTCACGTCAGTAAATCGGGTGCTGCCCCTTTGCTTCCTTCAGGAGGTCTCGTTTCTGCTTCCCAGCAACGGTAAAGCTCTAACCTAGCTTCTGGAGACCAGCAATTTGTAAAATGTTGGTATACAAATGAGATGTCTATGGGGAAGGAGCTGCTATTTTGCAGCTTCTTTAGAATCTTCAAATCTTCCTTTGATTCTTCAGAAGAAATGAAATGTAGATTATTTCCTCGACAAACAGGCTCTGCTGCTTTGGAAGCAGCCCTTCATTCCTCTGTTCCTTTAAAGCAGGAACATCAGACACGGAATAGGGTTCATCACACAAACCCAGGGCAAGTCTCAACCTGAAGGTGGCTCTGAGTCTGGCGCATCTGCATTGAGTGATGCAGAATAATTCCTGCCTAAGCATTGTTTGCACATGGCTTTATTAGTCCCTGTACAGCTTCTCCAGGATCACTGCATCCGTGCAGCAGTGCACAAGTGTGAATCACGTGCTCAGCAATCACAGTAGATATCCCATGATCTGCTTGCTTTACACAGTCTGGAATTTTCCTCACTGTGCACTGTGGAATAGTAACCTGAAAACAATGATTCCATTTCTCAAAATTCCTTCTGTTTGATATTATCCCCCTAATGCTCCCCAGCAGAAAATTAAGCAGCACAGCTACTTTCAGATGCAGCTAATTAGCACAGACAAGTGGGTGAGATATTGCAACAGCCTTGGGATAAAGAGCAGTGGCAGCAGAAATTAGAGGTCCCAGTGAACATTTCCTTAGACCCCTGCATGAGATGTGGCCTCCTCTGTGAGAAAGAACCTCGATTTCTCCAACCCAAAGCAGAGTGACACTAGGCAGTGGTGCTCCATGGCCTCCTGGCAGCCACCACCCAGAGCTAGCAGTTGCATTTAGCAAACATTCTGTCCACAGCCCTCCTTAGAAGCTCAAGTAACCATCCATTGCAGCTGGGATCCTAGTGAACTATGAAAATAGCCTCCAAGCCACCATTTAAGAAGTAAGGAATGATAGAAAGCCTTTGGAATTTGCAAAATAAAAGTCTTGCCTTAGCAAAGCATACCAACAGGCAGATCTTCCCTTGAGTTCTACCAGGCAACAACACAGAGACAGTATTATACAGTTTGGACTTCTATTACTTAGACAAAGAATGTCACCTCTTCAAAATGAGCTCAGCTAAAAAAAAAAAAAAAAAGCAGTAGTGAAAGTAGTTGGAATACCCATGTTCTGTTTTCAGGACTGCTGTTTGGATAAGCAGCATCAAGAGATTGTTTGGAAAGGATACAGAAGTTTGAGAAGAAAGAAAGCTCACAGCCTGGAAGGTAGTGCATTGAATGTGGAACAGCAGAAAACAACTGTCAGAATGAACTGTTTCCACAACACCTGCACTTCTACGTCCCACCAACTCTAGGTAAGACACAATGCCAACACTTAAGTAAAAAATTTGGCTTTGAAGATGATCATGGTACATTTTTTCACTACCCAAACAAATTTCAAGGCACTTGTCAGCTCACCCAATGGATTGGTAGGAATTAGTGCTGTAGTTAATCAGAACAGGATACATTTCCCTGGTTCTTACTAAACTTATGTGCCTTTTGGTACACTTGTTCCATCTAGAAGTGAGCCTGGTCCATTCTGTATACTTCAGCTTCATGAACCTCTCCAGCTCATTTCCAGCTATCAGTAGCCAACTTCATTTCTAACAACATATATCATGAACACCCAATACCACCAAGACTTGTGTGTTCCATGAACAGCACGCCACAATTCAGCAACAGTGCCACCTTCTCACAGGCTGTGAAGATTGCAGTGACAACTGAAGTGCAAAGCTCCTCCCTTGTTTTAGTACAGTCCTTCAAGACCACGTTGCCAGAAGCCTTAAGAAGGCAAACCTCAGCCAGCTGCTCCCAGCAGCACCCAGGGGTAATGCCAGAGTGTTTGGCCAGCAAACCACAGAAAATGTTTGGGAGCTCTTGGTGCACAGCTTCAGAAGCAGCTCTGTGCTCCTAGAACACGGGCAGATGCACCACTACCACTAGGTAGATAGGGTGGGAGCTGAATGAGGATAGCAGTTCTGTGTATTGGAACATGGGCAGGTCCACCACTGTCACTGGGCAGGTCAGGCAGGAGCAGCACAGTAGTGAGCACCTCTGTATCAACGATCAGCTCCAGCAGTGCTGCGCCACCACCCTGCTTTACAGTGACTCCTGGAAACAGTGCTCCGCCCATAAGAGCTGTTCCAGTTGCATGCTCTCTTCAAGCTACATAGTCAACCTCCAAATGCACAGTGTTTTCCTGTCTTGCTCCTCTGGATATCTTGTAATCTCACATAATTGCACTCTGGGCACCTTTAACCACTTACAGCCAAATGGGACATGGCTCACACTGATGCCCACTTTAGAATACAGATCTCAGAGCTTCAGAACTCATCTTGAATAGGTATTCAATACTCTTGGCCTGTGCTAAGAATATTTTCCACCAGGTATTTCTTACCTTGAGTTTATGAATGAACAGTATTAAAAATATATGTATTTGTAATGTCATCTTGATGTAAGAGGTGAAAATAAAGTTCTGTTTCAAACCCACTCCCTAGAGATCAGAGGATAGCATCCAAGTATTGCTAGGATATGACAACCAAATCACAACAGTTCTCACCCACCTATTGAAGCTTATTTGCACTCCCAGAGGTTCTCAGCCAAATGACCTTGTTAGGTCTGCCATTCCCATCCATTTCTTACAACAAAGGTTTGACATAGGATCACCCAGTTCAGTCTCTCACACATCCCCTTGCTTCCACTCCAAATATTTCCCTACTTCAGGAAGGAGATGATGAAAGAACATACACTAGTGGGCTACTTTACATTACACAGCTGATGTACGTCATGCCAGCTTACATATTGCAAAAAACATTTTGACACAGGCTTAAGCATAAATTCAGTCAAGTGATCAAAAGGAGGATAAGGATAAAACAATTTGGTACATAAATAGCCTAGCTTGTTCCATTTCCTAACTGGCAAATAGAAGATTTGACACAAGTGATATAGTTTGCATTTTTTTTTTTTTTTTTTAAACTCTGTACAGAGGGACAGTTTTTTTGTTGTTAGAGATTTAGTGAAACTTTCACCGATACCAATAAACCAACAACAACTTCCCTTTGGCAACGCACAGCAAAATGCTACTTGGAGTTGCAGTGGCATAATCGAGGTTGAAGATCCTCCCTCCTTTTTGGATCTTCCCTCCCCCCAGGTAAAATCCTGAGAGCAACCCACAGCAGACATGACAAGACACATACGGTGCATCGCTGAAACTCTGAGTCATGGCACGGCCACTGAATCAAGCCCAGCATTGCATTCAGAAGGTTATGCATTTAAAGAAAACAAACAGAAAGGAGACATTGTCAAGTTTCTGAAAGTCATATTCAAACATGCTAAAACAAACAATCAGAAACAAACAAAAAAAAAAAGAAATTCCTGGAACTCCTCTCTATACTTCATTTTAGTTCATTTCTGAATATGGAAAATCATCTTTTACTTCTGATGGCACAGGGAAGATAACCACACAAAAATTGCCCTGTAAAATGTATTTCTACTGGAACTATTCTACAAATGCAGCTATATATTTCTAAATGCATGCTCAAAGCATCACTGAGCTCACGCAGGTCATTCCATAGACTTCAGCAGACAGATATAAAGTTCATTGAAAAAAAAAAAAAAACCAGGCAGGAATGAAACAAATGATATAATTTCAAATACATCTAGTGGGCTAGAAACATTCTGAATACAATTAAGCTCTGAGACATTGTGCCAGCCAAGATGTTAATAACTATTAAAAAAAGCAACAAAAATGGTGGCTGATTTTCATACTTATCAAAATAAGGAACTGTTGAGAACCATTAATAATGTGGGTGAACGCTGTCTAAGCTTCCCACACACAGCTCTGCCAATAAGCTTTAATTTTCAGCTGCAACAATCCTGCTATTCCAGTCTGGAGCTCCTCCAGAGCAGAGAGATTTAATCCAATTACACTATGAACTCGCTCTGCAACACATTCAACATGAAAAGATCAATATGTAACATCATACGTTATCTCAGTCGGGCTTGCCTGGACCAAGATTTTCAAGAGCTTGAGATGAACCCACCTTAATCCTCAGCCTAAAGGATACTTCTGAAGCAGAAGTGAATATTTTCAAATACAAATTTGAAGAGGAAGACTGAAAGCAGGCTTGAAAACTTGTGGCATAACAGCATTTGCTACGATCAGTGAGAAACATACATTATGAAAAGGCAAAAACTGTGGATTGCTTCTGTGTGCACGCACGTGCAAATACTTTTGGGAGGCTTTAGAGATTCTCAGAGTATGAAAGAAGCCTAGAGACAAGCATCTCTAGAACTGTTGCCACCATACTGCTATAAAAGCTCATCGGTAACTCTCAAAGTTTGCTCATAGAAGTAGTACTGCCTTTCCTAAAGAACATATAATTTCTTAAGAGCAGGCATACAAACAAATTGCTTGTTGAGAACAAGCATTTCTGTCAGTGCTGAGACATAGGCTATTCAAAGCATTTATTATCAATGAATCCACTTGGTTCACATAAGGAGTGTTTCACTGACCTTCAAAGTCCACATCTCCAACTAATTTGGTCTTTCCAGTTAGAGGATCATGGATATGATTGATGCCTACATCTATCACAGCTGCACCTTCTTTGACCATATCAGTTGTAATCAACTTCGGGATACCTGCAATCATCAAGATATTTTATTAACATGGCCAAATAATCTTAGGCCATCAGTTCCAAATTATTAAGTTTGCATGCACCCCCATACCTCCCTCCCGTGCTGAAAAATAATAATATATATTTCACTTAATTATTAAGCATAGTGAGAGAATCTGATCTATGCCACCAGCTTATTTTTCATTCCTGTAATATATGAATGAGATAGATAACAGAAAAAAGTATCCAACTCATATCTACCCACAGTGTCAGCCCACTCTGCAAGAGAGAACCAAAGACTTCCAAGAACAAAATCTTAAGTTAATTCCTGGACAGATTCAAAAAAATGAAGCAACTCCTCAATTGTTATGGCAAATAAGTATCTGAGTGCAAAGTCACTACATGCTATCAGAGAGTAGGTAATATAAAGCCATCAGCTAACATCTGCATGTTATACAATTATATCTTAAATGCAACATCTGCAATCTTCTTTGTGCACCTGCTTTAAAAGACTTCCTAAATTTATTTTCTTCTATGCAGCCGCCCACTCTGAAAGACAGGAGATTTGAACTTGGAAACAAATTCAATTTTTGCCTTGCTTCTTGGGCAAGCAGCAAGCTCTATGTTATCTGAGGAACGTCTGCCTCAGTAACAGAGCATCTCCAAAGGGGGATTCTGAGCTCACCCTGCTGCCCTCCCCCTGAGGGAGACTTCTCTGAGGTGGGGAAAAAAAAGAAAACAAAAAGCCACCACCAACAACAAAAAAAAACACATTAAAAAAATAAAGAAAAGGAAAAGAAAGCAAACATATATGTTTTGAGACCAGTGTTACTGGAGGCAAGCATTAGCATATGAGTACTATGACTCCACTTGAAGTGCTGGACCTTGGCCAGCTTGTCATTTGAATCCAGGCAATAGAAGAGCTTTTCTTTGCTCTCCATTTCTCACTCCCCCATAGCACACAGCCTTGAAACTCTGATTTTAATGTTGAGCAAACCAAGACCTCATTTTTTTTTTTTTTCCCTATTCTGATGATAAGATCTGGATACATCTCCTTCATCACACTCTTGTGCAATCAATTGCAGGCTGACTGCTAACTGGATAATGCCTCCGTCTGATGGGGTTAACGATCTGTGCATGATAGGAATGGGAGCATATTAACGGAAGTTGCACAGTTACACCCTTTGTAAAATGGCTTGATAATAAGCCAAATACTTAAGAGCAACAAATAAACTAACCCCCAAAGCAAATGAACAGATCCATTTACTTAAGCCTGCTTTGCATACCAAGCAGGGAGAGATAAGCATTGGAGTAGCAATTCCTAAAATGCAGCGATTGAACAATGTGGGAATTTTTTTCCTTTCCAGCTTTGTAGAAAACAGCTAAGCATGCTTTAAACAAACAAGCAAACAAGTCCCATAAGATCCCAGTTTAGGTATAAGGACTGTGAAACAGTAAAATACTAGAAATTAAACCAGCCACAGGCTGAATCAAGCAGTCCAGGAATTTAGCAGTGGATGGGGCAAGAAGGAAACTTTAGCCAAAAAAGCAAAAGCTGTGTGGTACAGAGCTTAGGCAGCTCTGGCTGGAAGCAGAGAACAAGAAGGAAGGAACTACATCAATAGCTACAAAGAAGAAAAGCTGCACAGCCAATTCTCTAGGGTGGAAATAAACAAGAGACAACTTCTGAAGATGGGCATTCTCAAAGCCTAGAGTAAAAACGTGAACATCTGATTTGACTTATTTGACAGCCATGGATGAAAGTGAATAAGAAATTCCTCACAGATAGATAATAGGAATCTTCCTACTATACACACAGTACACATAGTTTACGTAGCAAGGTTTTGGTAGTAAGAGGCTTTTCCAATGTATTTTCTCTCTCACTTCCTTTGAGAAGAGACAGAGTGGCAGTGGGCAGGGCTGCACGCTGTTTGAAAAAAGCCCAGAGCTGGACTGTGTATCACTTCAAGTCTATCTCACATTGCATAATAACTGTTGTATCATGCTCCTCTTACAAAAGACACAGGGAGAATGAATGAACGAGAAGAATGAATGCAGCTAAATGAAGCAGCTAAATGCAGCTAAAACTGAAGTGTTTAACTACAAGCCTAACTGATGACAAACTGTTCAGCATGTAAAAAACCTTGAACTATATTAAATCAGCAGCATGAATGTTGATATTACTGCTTTATTCCCAAATAATGCACATGTTATTTTTCATTCACAATGAACCCACAGTTGGCTAATCACATGTGGGAGAACTGAGCCACTTCTTGTTCCTGACCTGGCACAAGAAAGAGATGACAGTGCAGTGAAGCCCTGAAGGAATGGACATCTTGCTTCAACAGGAAGCAAGGAGCTTCAGACATGTGCCTAGCTGTCTTCCTCTGGAAAATAACTTCCCAAGATTACATTTCAAGGATGGTGAGGAGGGAGAGAAGGAGCACAAAAGAGTAAATATGCTCATATTTCTCCCCATTTATGATCCTCCTAAACCATACAAGAGAAGGAAGATATCTCAAGTTGCACGGATACAGAATTTTATCAAAGACTGGTTTGTTTTTAAGTTTAATTTTACTAATATCTATTGATGGAAATAAAAGTAAAACCAAAGATTGCTCAGAAGTAGCACTGCTTATTTCTTTGTCCTAGAAAATCCAAACAAAGTATTTCACAGGTCTTTCAGAGCCCCTCCTTTTGCCATTTGTCATTTTCTTCCTTTTTACATGATAATTATAAACAAACAAAAAAACCCAGCCATGAATAACACATGTGTTACCAAAATTACTATTTAATTTGCTATGTTTGCCCTTAATTCAAACAGCAAGAGAAAGATACCATTGTCTTTTATGAATGGCACCTCCAGCTGATTTAAAGAAAACTTCCTGCCAAAAATTAGATGACTCATGATTTTTGCACAGTACAGAGAATGTCTTAATTTACATAATTACACCTGTATAAACTACACACCAACTGGTTCCCAATCTGGAGTTCACTCTGGAGTCTCCCTAAGGGAAAGGTGTCACACGTGATGAGAAACAGTTTATGAGTCTACAAATACGAAGGACAGGAACGAAGTGCCAGATCACCTGTCCATCTTACAAGAAATCCCGCACACCATGACACCCTTGGCAAGCATGAGCACCATTTATTTGGTAAAAATACATGAAATAGCAAGTAGTGCCACCAATTGACTCCAAGCTTTTCTTTTTGGGTTTTAAACATTGTTTTTGGTTGTATTAACCACATTACCTGCAGCTACTATGACAATGTCAGCAAGTTGAGTATGGATCTTGAGCTGTTCCTTTGGTGTGTGCCTATGCGCAATGGTCACTGTAGCATCTCCTGAAGCATAAAGATTGACAATTAATAGATAGAAAGGGCCTATATAGCAATTACTTTCAAGTACAACTGTCATTTTGGTACATGAAGAACAGTAAAGAAAACCATCAAGTCTGCCTGGTGATGCATCACTTGTTTCAGCATCGGCAGAATGCTCACAACATCTGCATTTTACATATATGAAAAAGCACTTGCTCTTAAAAATTGACACAGGATTAATTAATGCATACACTTCAAACTGACATTATTTCTTACTGATATTCCCCCTTACAAGAATGAGCTTGGCTGATAATCTGACCAACAAGAGAAAAATACAACCAAGGCTCTCCTTGGCCTGAACTATGAGGTTAGTAGCTATGACAACAATGAGACTCTAGGGCCAAGAGCCTTCATAGAATCACAGAATGATTTTGGGTTGAAAGTGACCCCTTAAGACCATCTAGCTCCAATCTCCCCTGCTACAGGCAGGGATACCTCCCTCTTGACCAGATTGCTCAAAGCCCCATTCAGCCTGCCCTTGAATGCTTCCAGGGAGGGGGCATCCACAAAATCACTGGGTAACCTGTTCCAATGTCTCACCACCCTCACAGTAAAGAATTTCTTCCTTACATCTAGTGTAAATCTACTCTCTTCCAGTTTAAAACTATTTCCCCTCATCTTATCGCTACCTGCCCTTATAAAAAAATCCCTCCCCAGCTTTCCTGTAGGACTTCTTCAGGTACTGGAAGGCTGCTATAAGGTCCCCCCAGAGCCTTCTCCAGGCTGAAAAGCCCCAGCTCTCTCAACCTGTACTCCTAGGGGAGGTGTTCCAGCCCTCTGATCATATTCGTAGTCCTCCTCTGGACCTGCTCCAACAGCTCCATGTCCCTCTTGTGTTAGGGGTCCCAGAACAGGATGCAGTACTCCAGGTGGGCTCTCACAAGAGCAGAGCAGAGGGCAGAATCACCTCCCTCAACCTGCTGGTCACATTTCTCTTGATGCAACCCAGGATATGGTTGGCCTTCTAGGAAGAGCACAATGCTGGCTCATGTTGAATATCTAATCAATCAACTCTTCCATCTAAACAACGATTGCACACGAGGGTCAGACAGCCAAAGCTTTTTGTCAACTGGAACATCAACAGATTTCATAGAGAAGAAATGTTTTTGAACTCACATGCGTAACACAATCAACATCAGCATCAATATTTACACAATCTGTACAATTTCAGTTGGATATTTTCCCCACACACTCAAAATATTCTAAGTAATCATTTTACTTAGGTCAAATGCAACAACAGGAAAAGACTAAAAAGGTACTGGGATTTTGTAGATGCCTGACCAGCTCTTCTATCTCCTGATAAAGCAAAAACTGCTGAACCTGTACTTTACACCAGAGCAGGAAGTGTTTGAAGTTATCACAAGTGTAAGACCACATCCTTTTGGGTAAACTCAAAAGCTCTGGGGCCTGCTCCTGCATGCACCCACATTGCTTGGCACAAAGCTACAAATAAACCCTGCCAGCAAGACATGAAAAGCCTTGTGCAGATCAATAGAGATGCTGAGGAAAGACCACTACACACAAAACAAAATGTCATCGGATTAGTGACTAAAATAACATATAGAGTCCAGCAGCAAGAGTGGTAGTCTCTCTGAGACTGCTCAAAAAATGCAAAGATAAAAGCTATTGAAAGAGATTGTTCCCAGATTCTGATGCCATTCTCCATCAACCATTTGTTCTACTCAGTGTTCTTGTGTTCATCTCCACCTTCCATCCACCATGAACTCATAAGCCACTTTATTAACCATTAAATAAAGATTTTTGCCATCTCAGACATTAACACCACAGATGCTTCCTCTGGAATGTGTCTGTCTAATCTGTGCCTCTTATCTCATTAACTCTCTTCCCCAAGAATTTCATCTTCAATCTGTCTGCGCTCTGAATTCACTGCTCTTTTCCCTTATCTCTCATCGCTCCTCTCCTTCAGTTATCACCAGTCCCTTTTCAGCCTCTGCAATCATGGAGAAGCAGATGAAGACATTTGCAGTTAATGTCAACAGAGAAGTGCATATGTGCATAAACTATTTCTACTATTTCTATAAACATAAGGGGAATTCCTAGGAGTTAGAAGTCTTTCACCGATTTTCTATAACTTCCCCTGCACTTAAGTCCATCGAGAGCTTGGAATAAACAACTGCCTTCAAACTACCTCCGCACTTTCTTAGGGTAAAAACATCCCAAGCAGTACATAACGCCTGCATGTCTACTTTCCTTCTTACTCCCCTCCCCCCTTTCTGCAATATCACCTATTGATATCTAAAGTAACTAATAATAAAAAAATAAAACAACAAAACTCAAGGGGAACAGGACAAAGGAATGGAATAAGGATAGAATAAAAAGGAGAAAGATATCCTGCCTCACACTGCAACCCCTACTACCAAAACCATACATTACGAAGTTCTTTTGATCTCTTAAACTCTATTCAAGGGCTCTGAGAGTAAACAGTGATCCAAAGCTATGTATATTCATAGCTTCTAAGCAGTAAAATCAGTACTATTTTCCTGTCCAGAGCTTAAGGAGTCTGTGGTCAGCTCCTGAAGCCAAAGAATTGCTCTCATCACTATTAAGGAGAGGTGGGGAAAAAAAAAAAAAAAAAAAAAAAAAAAGATTGTCCCTACCTTCAAAATAGCAGTTCACCTCAGAAAGAGTGGGTTTTCCATTTAGGTGTGATCATGCCAGAACAAAGAATAAGTAACTTAACTTTGATAATGCTACTTCTGATAGAAAAAAAAGAGGATATTAGCAAATAAGGCCTAGCACCATATTGCTATGTTAAGTCACTAGTTCATAAAATAAGAAGTGTCTTGATCTGTCTATGGATAATACACTGTTTTGTAAGGAACCCTTCCCTATCTAATCACATATTGCCACCTGCAGGACACTGCAGCTGCAACATAAAAAAACATCACAGATGAAGACAGACTGCAGCTTTTCATTTTTGCTTATCTCCAAAAAACTGAAAACCTATCCGAAAACATACCCTTTAAAGGAACCTTTAAAGATAATCTAGTTCCAACCTCCTTGCCATATGCAGGGATTTCTTCCACTGAATGAGGTTGTGCAAGGTCCAAATCACAGAATCAATCAGGCTGGAAAACATCTTCAAATTTAAACAGAACTTGTTTCAAAAGGAGGATAAAATGATGACATAACATCAGAAAAAGCCCAGCCCAGAAACTGACCTTTTCTGCTGAGAAACCATCAGCAAATGCATTAGCAATTAATCTCCTTGCTCCAGGTGTTAATGTCATACAAGAGAAAGGCTTTCCCTTTATCCAAATGCTCTGGTGAGCTTTATTTTAACTAGTTCATTAATTGTTAAAATGGAAACATTACAACACCTGACAACACAAACTTACCTCCAGGCCTTTCATGCTCTCCATCAGTATGCAGAAGCATTGAAATGGGCATTCCAACATTCTTAGATCTTCCAGCTACAACAATATTTTTCCCAAATGTTTGTATTCCTTATGAGAAACCAAAACAGAACACAACATTTTATTCTGCTATTTTGAAATACTAAACCCCTTCTTCTCAATGCCAAAATAATAGCAATTATTTGCTATTGTGGACTGCTGACATCAGTGTGACTTGGAAACCCACAAGGCTGAACTTAAAGTATGAACCCACAAAATAACACTCAGCTTTCACAGCAGAGAAACAAAACTGGCAAGTAATTGAGTTTTTCTGAATCATCCTTTGTAGGCTAAAAAATTTTCTTTCCTGACCACAAAGTGAAATGAAAGCTCTCTTGTCCATTGGTAGGAGCATACTGTACTCAGAAAAATAGCACCTATTTAATTCATCTTTTCCCCTTCTAGTAACCAACTGAATATTCCCATTTCTGTTCTGCACTTTCCCCCTTACCCTACAGGGATTTACGCATTGCAGTCTTTTATTTGATAGCTACACAGGAAGTACAGAACAACTCCTTAAAATTCTGTGCAACACTAAACAGTAGAAAATAAGTTACTATTCAAAATGCTTAAAGTCTTTGACATGAACTATAATCTACAGGTAATATTTATAACACTGGCAAAATTTCCCATCCTCCTTGGCATTTCCTTATTATTTAGACTAATCCTCTAAATACAGGCTCTTCCTTAAGAGCAGTACCTTGAAGACAGCCCACACTTGACTCTATCCTTCATTCCTTCTATGTTTAATAAAAAGAAAAAAATAATTAAATACAGATGAACTTCCTACCTGTCCGCTTTATGATTTCCCAGACAGCAGCAGCAGTGGCAGGTATTACAGATGGCTGATCGAGACACAGACGTCCAATGTTGATAATGTGAAATCCATCCACATCCTTTTCAGGTGCGATAGCGTTACAAACTGTCCGCTCATCTATATGGTCTGGGAAACATTGCTTTCCAATTACACTTCTTTCAACTGTCAAAGGTCATCACTCCTATCTGAATCATTATACAGACAAACACACGAGTTCCATCTAGCTAGAGTAACCGTCTCCCCTCGAAGATAGAATTTGCAACTCCAACCAAAGTCTACTGAAAATTAAATGACTCCATCTGTAATATTGCTCATGCTATAGATTCAGTCCAAATTATAGGCTGACACTAAGCTGTGATTGATGACAATAACTGTAAAAGTAGAAGCTTAAGCAAGATAGCTCTTGTATGTTCTGCAAGAGTTATCATCACTTGGCTCGAAAATGGTTTAAAAAAATCATAGGAAAATTTATCTTTTAGTGCATATTTCCCATAGCAAACAGGATCTATGTCCTAAATTTTAATCAAATGTAAGGAAATCATGAACTGATTTTTTTTTCTTCCAGTTTTGCTTTCAGTTTCCACTTTACAACAAAAGTGGCTTTAAGAATTTGTTAATCATTGGGATCCAGTTATGTCCTACTTCAGAAAATTGAGAACACAAATAATTGTTTGAAACTGCTGAGCTCACAACATAAAATATGGCTTAAATGGTGATACCTGATTATGAAAAAGATATGCATTAGCAAGTGTCATCTCTGAAAAGTTACAAAATCAAGTTCAAAGCCTGCACAGATTTGGACACTCCAGGGGAAGAACGCTGTAAACCATGTCCCCGTATGACCTATAAAGGAAATTCTGTTTGAGAAATATATTTATCTAGTGATGTTTCAGTCAATTTTAGTCTACTGCTTCATTGTTTAACAATTTCCTAAACTTTTATAAGAATTACACTCAAAGTTCAGTATCATCTCAGAGTTACTATTTATCTCTTATATGATGACAGAACTTCCATTCCAGGCAAGATCTCGACTAATCTCACACTGAGGAAGGTTCAACCTCTACTATCACACCACCGTTATCTGCCTGTGACATCATGGGCCAACACAATAAAATAGGAGGCATGACTTCTGCAGCAGCACTTGTTAACCAAACTTGCACGATGACACTGGCCATCACTTGCCTAGCTACTCCAACATGCTCTCTTATTTACACAATAAGCACGTGCTCTCCAGTCTAGACATACTAGAAATGAAGTCCAGTTCTCAAAAGAGAAGATTGATGAAAATAAAAACAGGGAACAAAAAAAGATTCTGAGAAGCGTAGGCAGGGAGCAAAGAATAAACTGTTCCAAAGCACAAAGGGACATGATGTTTATCCTAATTTATCCCACAATTCTTTGCTGCTTACAACTAAGAAAATGTCAACTTTTTCACATTCTATCTCAAATCAACATCAAACATGTCTTCCTATCTTCCAGGCAATTTAAAAGATAGAGCAAAGTCTCCACAAAGCCATTACCACATCAGAAGTACAGTGCTCCAGAGGGGCACAGAAAGGAAGTTTTCCTCAGGCAAAGATGGTAATCCTCAAAGTTAAGTTGCTGCAGCTCACAGGACTGAAAGAACAAAGCTATCCTCTGCTTCTATTTTTATTCCAGTGTTGATCAAAAGCCACACCTGTGTGTGGCTTATTGTGAAAAATAAATAAATATCAACACTCCACACAACAACCGCCCTATTGTGGGATTAGCAGACACTGCTGATTAGGTTTTCACAACTTCTGGGCTTTGCATCCTTCTGTTACAGGATAAGTCAAAAGGATTTTGGAAAATCAAGTACATCAGTTTTTTGCCCATCTCTCACTCAAGTTGCATGGAGGGGATACGGTGTTGCCACAGGAAATAATAATTCAGTAATCAAAGTTATATCCAACATCTATTGTAGAAATAATTTCCTGAAGATTTTCAGTTCATGATGGTTTGGATATTTACCTTTACTAGATAAGTATACAAACAATGTAACACTGAAAACGTAATACTATTCATCAAATGCCTCTAAGGTTTTAGTAAGGCAGACAGCAGCCAGCCCTAAAACAACAAGTTTCACAGGCTGAATAGACTATTTATTCCTAATGTGGTTATGGTAACAGACATACCACAGTTTGTAGGGAAGTCACCACTTACTTGAGAATTTAAAACATTCAAACATACCAGCAACAGATATCTAAACTGACATAACTAGAATTATGTTCTGATCCTTCCTTGTGAAACATTCAACAAGCGTAAAAATGACAAGTTGCAAGGCTCAAGTCCCTTACTAAACTATTAAAGCAGACTGCTCAGGAGGGGATTGCAATGACTTTGTATTATGTCACCAAAAAAAGAAGTACTCCTGTAAGTGGTACCCAATCATTTGATGGAGTATCAGTGCAACTAAGATGTATACGATAACTCCCATTCCCGGAGGACACAGGAGTGGATTGGGAATCCAGATGAACTATGAACTATAGTCTGTGAACTATGCAACACACAGAGAGGAAGATTTTTATCCCCAGGTGCTTAACCTTTTGTATAAGTTCTTAATATCGAGGATAAGTCATTAAATCACCTGTTTGCCCTAATCTGTTATTGCAGGGATAGATGTTTCCCAAACCAGCCCACCCTTTCAAGTTGTTCCCGACTTTGTGTCCAGGATTTCCTCCTCCTTCCTTGTGTTCTACTTCCACCTAGTGGCTAACTCACTGCAGCAGATGGCAAACTTGTCCACAATCATCAGTTTTCTCATGTAATACAAATGACAGAATAATGAACACTAGTTGTTATTACAAACATGAACAAAACACATGCTTCAGTTCCTCCATGAACTCAAAAAAAAAAGACAGTTCCTGCCCTTCAGTGCCCAGAAGCTCCTGCCCAGTGCCCACATATCTAAATATGTGATAAAAGACAAGATTTGGAAATAAAGAGGGGGAAATTCAACACATCACCCAGTCTATTACAATGATTCTCTTAGCTTCGGCAAATCCCTAAGAGAAAGCATACACTGGTTTAATGAAGTTAGAGACTGATATGAAGAGCTACAAATTTTAGCACTAAATACCATATTGCCACCTGCTGCTGACTGATTCATAAGAGTGAGATTATTGTACAGAACTAGAGTGGGGAAAACAATCGACAGGAGCATGCTAGAGGCTTTCAAGTCTTTAGCACAATGCTTATCTCAAATATTGGTGAAAGCACACAACAGGCAAATAAACATTTAGGGCACAAGCAAGAACCACTCTGAGAAAGACTGTCCCACTATCTGCTAAGCAGCATATCTTGGCACGATGCAGGGGAGGAAGACATGGCAAAGGTTTTGGTATTCAAGACAAAATACTGCAATGTGGTAGGAAAAAATAAAATAAAATCAGAGAAGTTAACTTGACAAAGTTGAGAGAAGATTTGCTATTTATACAATAACAGAAAAAGACATCTCTTCATCAAGCCCCTCATTATCTATTTGCTCTCTTTCTGGAGCCTCTGATGTCACTATGATGCACTTGCAACAGCAAAAGTTGTCAAACATTTTCCTCTTACATGGATCATATGTAGGGAGTGAGATAACACCCACCTGGGAGAGGCAGCTGAACTAATACACCACTAACTGTTGAGTCCTTGTTGAGTTTTAATGTCATATCCAACAGTTCTTCCTGAGAAATATATTTAGGCTTCAGTATGACCTCACTAGAAATTCCTGACAGAAAAAGAAAGACACTTATTTGTATCAGGAAACTTAGGGAGAGCTTACTCACGTTGTATAAAAATCCGTTAATGTTCAACAACTGTCTCGAATAAGACTCTCTGGTCTTTAATGCTATATTTCCAGTTATCAAGAGCAATCTCACAACAAAGTTAGTAGTTTGACACAGCAGCTTCAAAATTAAAACAAAGACAGAAAATATTTGGAAATCAATGCATATAATAATTTGTCTATAACCACACTCTCGAGAATTATGAGTAAAACCAAATGGACCTAGCTTTGCTAATAATGCTGGCACCATTTAATGGCTCTTCTACTTCTGCAGAACCAAACTTACAACAGATTTTTCAAGTCACAGGAGAAGATTGCAGTTCCACCAAAAACAACAAAATGCTTTCTGTTTAAGCTGTGATGCTCTCTCATTCTGAGGTGATTGAGTCATATTCCAGGTAATCAGTCCCTCAGCTTTACTATTTGATTTATATCTGAAACTCTGCCATTGACATACACGGTTATGAAACTTTGTTTTTGGATGAGATTGCCTGGCTTTACTGCAGACCTACAGCATCCAACAAGCCAGAAATTCCATGAGATGCACCACATACATATGAAGGTAAATATGATGTTATGAAAAAAAAAAAAGTTATTCCCCAGCACTCACGTTTCATTTGCAGTTTCTAAAAGTAACAGTGCAAACTACCTCCCAATAACATTTTAAGGTGCTCCGTTAAATTTATGCCTTCCATGCACATGACATAAGAATTACTTTATATATCACTGCAACTTTTTCACCTTAGCTAAAATCGGAGAAGGTGAGGAAGAAAAAGGTGTGACATGAGATGAAGATCCAAAGGGGGTTCTCTTCCCCACTTTTAGAATATTTTAAAGAACAGTGTCCTGTGCTCACCAAAGGAACGCTTATATTACCTAGTACATACCTACAGCTGCAGCTGCTTTTACCTTATTTCTGACATAGATATGACTAGCTGGGTTGTCTCCTACTAATATGACAGTGAGATGAGGTCTCTTGTTCCCACAGGATATCCACGATTCCACATCCCTTTGAACTTCCTTCAAGACTTGTTTAGCGAGCTTTGTCCCTGAGATAATGGCTGCTTCATCACTAAAAAGACAAAAGTACACACAATAGTCACATCTGGACAGTCCATAACCATGGCACTTCTGAGCACACCATCCACTGCATTAAATACTTGCATATGCTTTGATGCATTAATTTGATAGTAATTCCAATACTACTTGAAAAATACTCATGCGGTTTCCTGCATGAAAGACAGAGGGAAGCTGAAGAAAGAGTCTTGTGCCTTGAGCTTGCCTCAGCACCTGCCACCCACCCCCTTTTCCTCTCTTTCATTGCTGTCATCAAGACTCCAAGCACAGATGTGGAAAGCCCCATGCACCCCATCAGTCTGCAATAACCGAGAAGCCTCCAGCATGCACTGCTTTCAAATGCTACGATCTGCCACTGCTGTATCACGTAATCCAGCCATTAAACACAGACTTTGTCGGATGAGAGATAGAAGCAGGAAGGTACACAGGAAGGAGCCTGGGGCAGGAAGAAATCCTCAAAAGTACCCAAATCCCAAACTGTGGCTTCATTTATGCAAGTCTTCTACATCTGACTGACAGATGAAATCCAGGCTACGCTTGTATTAATTACCACAGAGCAATTCTATGAAAACTTTGCTGCACAGGAAAAAAACAAAGTATTCAAAACCACACAGTTCTGGACCAGAACTAAGAGTACCCAACTCCTGCATTTTTCCTACTGCTCACTCTCTTCAAATAACGTAACTTTGGAGCAATAAAATGACAATCATACAACACAATAAATGAACACATTGTTGACCTCAATTTTACTCCAGCTTTAGATACATCCAAGGTTATCTTTGACATTACTTAACTTGATTTTTTTGTTTTTAAATCAATACATGTGTTTTTATTCTTTTCCTAATGGCCTACTCTGTACTTTCTCATTTTCCACTTCTCTCCTTGCTGTTAGTCAGGTTTAGGCCATGTATAGCATTGGCACAAGACATCTGTTTCCATGTACTTCTTTGCCAAATAAGTAGTTAGTGCTTAACAATGTAGCAATGGCATAAATGTTTAAGGATAGAAAGAGCTAACAACCTTCTGGTGCCAAAAAAAAGGTTCTCAATTCACACACAAAAGCCAATAATACTATTTTTGCTCTAAATGCATGGCCAAAGTACTCATTCTCCTCAACTTTGGGCAACTGATTTCAAGTGTATGGCTCTCTCTTAAAGGTATAACCACATACTCATTTAGTAGGTCTCAAAGATCAATCCAAAGCAAATGAAGAGAACTACAGTACTAAAAAAAAAAAAAAACAACCAAAAACAACACAAACAACCAGCCAAAAAAAACAAAAACAAACAACCCACAACCATGCATGCACACAAATAGAAAACACTCTCTTGCATCCTACAAGCAAGGATACAAGGCACATTCTCTATCAGAGCCAGGAGCCTGTCAGCAGGCTCTCCCATGCTTGGATCTTTCTAAAGATAGCATAGAGCAACTTCCACAAGCCTAAGTGACATGAAGTTACAAAGGAGAAAAACTTTAATGGAAACTCATACAGGGGTACCCCAGATACCAGGGACCAAGTCAGTGCCACGCATTAGTTCACACATGCAGAAATGAGCAAGCAACATTCCGTCTTTGCATTAAGGTGTGCAACAGTCCGACTGTCTGTGAGCTATTCCTTTTTGATGTTACAATAGAGACACTCAGAAGACACAGAACGAGGTACTAACTTAAAGAATAGCTTTATTTTTTTGTATTCCTAACTTTAAGGTGCTTTGGAGTGAGATGCTAATGAGCAGGCACATTCACAGCAAACAGCCAGGAGAGCAACTCCCAGTCTCAGAGAGTATCACAGTGAAAATAAAGTACAAAGAAAAGGAATACTTGGCTGAAATACCAAGCTAGCACTTTGGAGACTGACCACGAACCATGGAGCAAGTGAGACAAATCTTTGGAAAATGGAGCACCTCAGGAAGATACAGATAAGAAGTTCGTCAAGTAATGCATTCTTCTCTCCTCAAAAGGAAGGGAAGAGCCAACCTCAGTACAAAGCCATTCATGGACACCCTTTTTTTTTTTTTTTTTTTTTTTAGCAGCGCACAGTAGTTCTATAAAGCTTCAGCAAGCCAGTGCTCTATTTGTCATGAGTCACGGGCGATTAGAAGTGCTCCACATACCCACCAGCTTGGCCTTCTATTGGTAAATGGCATGACTATACCCAACTTGTCAATATGGCTACCTCGAGAACCATTACATGTAGCACATGCGACCTTTTCATCAGCCTTCCCTGAGTACCACCTCAGTGGCCAAGCACCCATGAGTTTGGCCTCATCTCAGCCAGTATCTAAATCTTTACAAATCTGATGGCAACAAATGAACAAACAAACAAGCATACAATAAATATTACAGTACTTAGAATACAAAGATTATGTTCTTGTACACAGATACGCGCTACCAATCTGCTGTCTATTTGGTTAAATGCAACAGCAAAGACCACCTCGCCTTTACCATTAACCATACATATTCCAGTTACACAAACCCAGATCTCTACCAGCACTTAAACAGTCAAATGAGGACCACTGAGAGATGCCCTAAATTTATTGTCAATACAACTGATCTATCTCATCTGATTATCATGACAGCAAGCCAACATACTATTCTTAGGAAAGATTTCAACAAGCAATTAATTCTGGCAATTAAATTTATCTTTACATATTGCGCTCAATTACTTTGATATCTGTTACTTGAACCTTGCCTGTCACATCAAACAAGATAAGAACCTGTGCTGGCATTTTGCCTGTTTTCTAGGAAGGCAGCAGTATTTATTATTTCTCATCATTACTATTAATTTCTAGCAGGTTCAGAATTTTGTCTAGAGTTCTAAGACAAACATAGAAACTCAGAGTATGTGGAAATGTGCACTATGTTTTGTCTAACAGAAATGTGTTTTCAGCTCCTAATAAAAATCACTCTGGGGAAAAAAAAAAAAAGTTGTACAATCATTTGGAAGGTAGCTTGCAAAAGCAATAAAACTTCCTGGTCAGATTAAGAATGGAATGACTTCCCACCTTTACAAGCCTGATCAGTATTTGGTTTCTCTCCTGTCTATGTCATATTCTTTGGGGAAAACAAGCCTGTGCTTTTAGAACATGCAGAACAAAGTTTTGAGCTCTATATTGCCTTTACTATAAGAAAGTATGAGACCACAGTGCAACAACTTGCAATTAACAACCTGCCACATAATTGCTCACATCTGTATATGTTTAGGAGCACAGCTAAACAAGAAAAAAGGCAATTCCTCAACACATGGCAAGAACGTCAGGTCAGACATTTGAAAAAATTTTACTCTTTGAAAGAGCAGTGGTGGATTGGCACCGGCTGCCCAGGAAGGTGGTGGGGTCACAGTCCCAGGGGGCATTCAAAAACCGTGGAGATGTGATGCTGAGGGATATGGTTAGCAGGCATGGTGGGGACAGCCTGATGGTTGGACTTAGAGATCTTTTCCAATCATAACGGTTCTGTGATGCTGTGCCAACACTTCTCAGGCTTAAAATCTCATTTAGCTCCTTGAACAGAGACAGGACTCCAGAACTACAGCAAATAGTAAGGCATCAGGTGCAGAGGAAGATTGCAGTGCAGCAAGTCAGTCCAGGCACTGTAATCAACATATCCCCACTGAAAACAACCCCAGGTAGCCTCTGAGCAGTGGGACAGCAGCCAGCACCGTCACTGTGCCCTCCACCCCACTGCATCCATGGGTCACGTTCTGCATCCTCCTCGGTTGCGCTGCTGACGATGCGCGGGGCATCACACAGCGGTAAGCTGCTAACTTAGACTTGCGTCTACACGGCAAGCCTGAAAGCAGGAGCTGTCACAACAGGATCTTCTCCAGCCTGCTCACACTTTGTTTCCCAATGGAAGCATCCCTAACGCTGACCCCATGCGAGCACCCGCTGGTATCCGCGCTGGAAAACAGCAGCTCCCAGCAGGTGAGCACAGCAACAGCGCGCGTCCATCTAGAAATACCGACACTGTGCCTAAAGTATAGCCCCATCCGCCCCGGGGAGGGCCCGGCCGCCCGGGAACACGAGCACCGGCAGGGCAGGGCCGGGCCTCCCCTCCCTTCAGACAGCGCGAGGAGGAGGAGCAGGGAGGACGAGGAGGAGGAAGGCGGCGTGCCGTACCTGGCGGCGCTCCGGGGGACGCTGCCGGCGTGGCGGGACGCGAGGCGAGGGAGGGCGGCCCGCCATCGGCACAGCGGAGCCAGGCCCGGCCGCAGCGCGGAGCACGGGGAGAAGAACGCGGCCGCGGCCATTGCGCTGCGGCGAGCGGAAGCGCCGCCGCCCGGAGGGGCCGGGGAGGGCGGTGCCGGTCGCTGTGACGGGCAGCGGGGCTGGGCGGTGCACTCGCTACAAGACGGGCATCGAAGCGGTGGAGCGTGTCCAGAGATGGGCGACGGAGCTGTGAGCGGTCTGAGGCATAAGTGCTGCGGGGAGCGTGTGAAAGATCCGGAGACTTAGCCCTGAGAGAACGTTACTTCATCACTAAAAAGACAGAAGTACACACGATAGTCACGTCTGGGAAGCCCATAACCATGGCATTTCCTTCCAGTACTGTTTGAAAAATAGTCACGCAGCACAAACCTGGCAGGGGAAATAGGTATTCCCCCTCCCAGACCTGCAGAGCAGTCAAGGCCCTCCAGCACATACAAGAGCATCCTGCCCTCCGCTCTCTGCCTTCTCAACACGCGTCACCAGCCTGCTTTGACATCTATCACATGTAGCCTGTCTGGCTGCACATCTGTCAGACCTTTGTAACTGACGTGAGAACATTCTGACACACTTGAGGTTTTCTGTCTCAAGGAAGTTTTCTACTCTCATTCTTTCCAGAAATCTCCCTCTGCCCCTCAGCCGGTGTACAAACACCAAATTAAATCCATGATAGGTACAACATGACTACAACCAGCATACAGCCCTAAAGGGAAATGCCTTATTTGTTTTTGCTCTTAAAAATGTGCTTCTAATGCCTTCAAATACCTGAATAGAGACTGCAGGCTTCCTTTTGTTCCCTAAAACAGCCTTGCAAGCACATCTTTTTGTAGGACTAACTTAATGTACAATGGGAAGCTAATTTTAGCTCGAATTGAGCCAGTATTTAACAGGCTTGCAGCCAGTTCTAGACTGTTTACACATAGAAAATGTTCTTTTTCCTGCTGTTCTTTTAAGAATGGGTATAATAAACTCCACAAACTTAAGAAATACTCAGGGTCCCTAGGATTGAAGGTAGAGCACTGGATGCCTTTTCTTAACACGTACCTCATCAGGCATTCACAAGTGTCTCTGTGATGATTATTTCCTGTATAAACAGACCATACTCAGTCTTCTATCAAGGCTCAGGCCTTGAATACAATCTGTGCAGTTCCTGAAAGGATGACTGCTTTTACCCTTAAAGGACGTGTGGTTAATTAAGTTCACTGAAGTAAAAATGTGAATTCAGATGTGATACTAAATAACTTTGCTCTATGCTACTATGTAAGTAACAGCTCCTGTTATTTGCTTACCAAATATACTGTATTTTGTGATCAGTGAATTTATAACCGGATGTTTTTCTGCAAACAGCTTCTGCTGTTTGGGTGTTTCAATTCCACAACTAATTTCCAATTAGACATTCCAATGCTAACCATTAAATAAGGTTCTATCCCTTTCCTGCTCACAAGTGAATTTTAATTAGAGAAGCTGCAATAATTCAGCTTCTGTGCACACTTTGTTTTCACTAGAAGGTAAACTCAAGATTTATGTAAAACATTGTTGGTGAGTTTCATATTAAAGTGTCCAATGATAAAGATTTGGGACTTTATGAAAAGCACTTAGGAATGCATTTGAAACAGAAGAGTGGTGGCAGCACACTGAGAGATACTAGTCTGACAGTTTTCCCAGAATTATGGTACGTATACACATGCTTTTATTTGTTTGTTTCCATTTTTCAGACCTTGCGCATGAGTACTGATTGCCTGCCTCGCTGTACTTGTTTGTTTTGCAGGACATTTTATACTAAATTTATGTGATTGGTTTGCAAGAGTAGAACTCCCAGCATCCAAATGCTCAAACTCTGTCTTATGTGCATTTTCTCCCTTAATGCATTATCTTCAGAATTAATGTATTATCTTCAGAACAATGGTACACAGCTTAAATACATTTGTTAAGCTTGTAATTAACAAAGCTCTGAAAATAAAAGACAATAGGGAGGCATGTTATTGTATGGCAAAAATAGACTAATTTAAACTGAATGTAGTTTTAAGCCATGCTACTATCAATTTCTCTGAATGGAACTCATGAGAGAACAGAAAGATATGGAAGATAAACACTCTAAACTCTTGTAACTCCAATGGTCAGAAGGGCATACTATTTTTTTTTTTTCTTTTGCATATACATTAGAAAATAGACTTCAGAAAAATAAAGATCTGAAAATATGCAGGTGCGTTCAGAAATGTTCATCATAGCACATGAGTTGTAGTGTTTCAAAGCTCTATAACCATAAAAAGTACTCTCCAGTCTCTTTCCTGGATGTTTTTTTTCCAAAATATCTTGCCTAAAGAAACAAAATATGCTTTACAGTTCACAAACAATAGAGAAACATGAGAGAACAATAGGCCAAGACCCTACCTAAATTCAGAAATGAACTGCTTGAAAAATTCATTTTATATAATCAGTGAATATTAGGATGCTATAACTACGAAATACACAAGAGAGCTTAGCAAAGCAGATTACGATAACAAATGGAGAATAAACAGAAAGCTTACCCCTAACCTGGGCTCACTTACAAAACTCCAGCAGAGCAGAATCGCAGAAGAGATCCTTCCCCCCTGGCAGTCAGCTCTTAAATGGGTCTAGGAGAGGTGCAGCAAGGTTCCACCCCTTCCAGCAGCACAGCTGAATTGCCTTCACCTGTGCTCCTGTGGCTGACTCATGGCTCGCCTCAGGTGATCAATCAGAGGTTCAGGCCGTGACTCAGCAGTTCCCATACACATTTTAAAAAACACCAACAAATTACTTTATAAATTAGTTTTGAAAATTATAAATTCCTCCAAGGCTGTCATTCCATACCCTGTTAAATCCTCTGGTTTCTTTCAGGTAGTCAGATCGGTCAGCAAAGGTGCCTCTGCCCATTCACAATACCATAATCTGATTTATTGTCATCGTTTAACTTCATTTAGACAATTGTTTGGAGAGGTTTGACAGCCATGTGGAACTGCCTTAGGACATGAACAGTAGATCTCACTGAAGCTAGATGTTCTTGGAATATATACAGACAATCTACCCAGCAGCTTAAAAGCAGCACTCATAACTACTACATCTCAAGACACTGTTTGGTGCCAGCAAAACTTTTGTTGCTGGCAGATACTGGCTCTTGCCAAATGAAGTAAAAGTTACTGTATTTTCCTGCAGGAGGAAAGAATGTTTAAAACTTGCAGTAGTTTATTCAAAGAGTAAAACCTTGAAGGTATTTAAGGAAAAGTCCAGCAGTGCCCCTAGGTGCTTGGAGAGAGATAGAAATGTTCTTTATAGTTTTTTTGCATTGTGTGTATACACATAGTGCTCTGAGGTGTATTCTCTTAGTGTGGACATTTACTTCTAAAAGTAACATCACGAGGAAAGATGAGATAGGAGGAAACAATCACGGGATGAAGAGCTTGCCATCTTCAGATTTATACGTCATACTTTATTGCTATTTTTAAAACATCACAAATATTTGTTTAAAAATTTAGATAGTTTTATAAAATCCCAAAAGCTTTAAAAACAGAACTAAGCAAGCAAAGATTGTAGTAAAAAGTGCAGAGAGGGATGTAGGGGGGAACAGTTAGGTCATGGCCTGAGCTGTTGATTGAGCATCTGGTGGAGGGTTGGCCCAAGAAGCACAGGTGCAAACAATTTACCTATGCTTCCCACATGACCAGAATAATGTATGCTTCTCCCCCCTCTCCTTTATTTATTTAAAGGTTAGCCTCTGACAGGAGAATGTCTTCTGGAAGAAGGTTACTTCTTGAGGTGGTGTGCTTTGCAGGCAGAGATCCTTATCATCAACTGGTTGAGTTGCCTTTTCTTTCTCTATGTATGTATGTATGATAATGTCACAGCCTGAACTACTGATTGAGCACCTGGGGAAAAGAACCGTTAGCCCTGGGAGCACAGGTGAAGGCAATTTAGCTGTATGACCAGAAAGGGTGGAGCCTGGCTGCACCTCTCTTAGACTTTCATTTAAGGGCTGACCTCTACTCTGGAAGAGTCTTTTTCTGGAGGTCCCTTTCTTGTGGAGTTTTCCCTGTGAGCTTAGATCTTCAGTAAGGGGTGAGCAGACCTTTTTTCCTTTCCTTTCTATTGTGTTAGGTTCTCTGTCGCTATGCCTCTTGTGCCCCTTTTCCATTGTGTTGATCTTTCTGATTGTTACAATGTGACTATTGCTGTTCCTTGATACTGTTTAAGAACTTATTGGAAGCAGTTTTGCTCTTCACAGCACAAACAAGGGCTTTCATGGAAGTGCTAGTAGGATATGTATCTAGCTTTTTCTTGTTATACCTGTAACAGAATTCCTAATACCTTGCTGCAAGCATTTATCTAATGTCTGTGTAGATGTAGCACTCCATTTTAAATGGCCTTAAGATTTGATGCTTAAAAAGAAAAGTAGTGATCTCTAATTTTTCTCACAAACTAATCATGCTCAGAATATAAGGAATGAATAAATATGAAGCCACTATTCAATTACAGAGACAAGCAGGAAAAGCAGAAGATAAATTAAGATTTTTCACTTACTCTTTTGGGTCTTCAAAATTACTAAAGTAACCCCTTAAAAAATCCTTTAGTGAAATACACTAGCTTTTCATGTTGAAGCTTTTTAACTAGCAATGTCTATAGCATCAGACTAGGTAGTTTCCAATTCTTTTTTTGTCTGTATAGTATTTTGAGTATGTTTTAAAAGTATTTGTCTTAGCATAGGTAGCATTTCTTTTGAAGAACATTTTTGAGAGTGTTTTCTGTTATTTATACTTTTTTAAGTGCAGGTGAGGAAAAAAACCAACCAGAAACTAACTTTAGGATTGAAATCATTGCTGTTCATGAACTGGTATTAAAAAAAATAAAAAAAAAAAAAAATTGGGGATTATCTCTTTAGTAATTTCTGGTTCAACTTCTTAATAGCTGTTGTGTTAGAAGAAAGGAAGAAAGGTCATGCTCTTCTCCATCAGTAATCTGATTAAGTTTCTGATATAGTTCATAGATTCTCAAACAGTCATTTAAATTAAATTAGATGCCTTCATATATT